AGTCGGGCCTCTTTGATTGATTCCCTAAACAAACAATTGCTGAGGTCCCTATTAACCGATTTATCTCCCCCTCTACCTACTCTCTTTGCTCTGCTGTCAGATGATATTGTTTTGGAACTGGTTATGCAGCGAGCACCAAAGCGCCTCGTGGAAATAAAGGAACGCCATTTGTTAACCAATCCATAACTATTGGAGATGGCCCTATTTTGTGTTACCAGTAGTTTAATGCTTCTATCGTCTGTATTTTCCCTACCACTAATGCCTGAACTAACGTATCTACTGATTCCATATTTTTTACTTGTTTTTTCGAAGGGGCCTGAGTGTAGTCAATCGTCATTTTTAGGTTTACCAAAGGCCTTTGAACTTGTGGAGAGACAGTTTGAGGCGATATGACCGATTTCTCCAAAGTTGAAACATGTAATCGATCCTTGGCGTCCTGTCCAACCATATTCTCCCCTACCACAAAGGAATTGCCCCTTCTTTCCTTCCTCTTGCTCCTTCTGTAACGTCACCTTCTGATTCAGATGATGTTGGTGATAGGTGGTCTTTACTTCTCTTTCACTTATGCTAGATATATCTAGATTTGCTACCATATTTCCATCTACTAAAAGTAGATTCTGACCAGGGTTTACTAAAAACTGGAATCCGATCCTTATACTTTTTCATCATTTTGTCACCATTTCCAACTATTTGTAAGGCAGCTTTCCAGCCTTTGTTATCTGCTAATCTCAGTATTACTGCACGAGCCTCTATTTCTTCTCTAATTCCGATGAATTCTTTCCTAGTAGATACTGGTAACACTTTAATTGCTTTATCTAGTCGTTTTCCTACTTTAGCTAAAAAATCGTATTCATGCTGGTCACGTGGTTTCGATAACTTAATGCCTGGCCATGCCTTGTCCAATAAATCTCCCTCTTCTATCTCCTTGTGTAAAACTGAGAAGTTTCTATCCATCTTCTTTTCTATATTACCTAAGGCTGACAAAAAAATGTCAACCGGGAACGAATCGATCCTTTCTTTCTCTTGAAGGCGCGCAGCTAATTCTTTTCCAACTCTACAATCAGCTTCTTGAGAAAGTACTTCCAAGTCATCACCTTCAAGGTCAACAATCCTATCATCTGCGAAAACTCTTTGACCAATCTCATTGATTCTACCTTCTGACAGCTCCCTCAATTCGGCGTTATTCTCTTGAGGTATTTCCGGCAACTTCCCTTTTTTCTTCTCAAAATATCTTTGTAATCTTTCTCCTAATTCTTCCTTGTTGCCTCCAGTGGAAAGCCCACATGTCAAACAAAGGTCCTGTAATTCCTTAACCGTTAATTTGGTCCAGCTAACAAATGACATTATTACTGGTCTAAATTAGAGTTATTTACTGTATCACTTATAAAATATTCAATATTATTTATTTATTTGTTTATTTATTTGTTATTTATCAAGTACAATGTAACGACAAAGCCAGCCCTAACTACTGGGCGAGCGATAGCGAACAGAAAGATAAAACAAAATTCTATCCGAAGAATTAACATTTAAATACATTGTCTCTCAACTGATTATCCACCCTCCCTAACCTACGCCATAATTCCCATACAAAACTCCTTATTATTCCTTAGCTTACAATCGTAATTACCATTTAATCTCAATTCATGAACAAACGAATTCGGAATATTCATATGTTATCCCGGTATTACTCCTAAAATACTTGGATTCAACCAAGTTACTCCATAAAAGGATACACATAAACTTGCATATGATTTACATGTCATCTGATCTCGCAATAATGATCGCTTCGTCACTTCGTTGACAAGCTTTTCACAAGCATACGTATATAGTTTTACCAGTAATTTTATAGGTTTGTATTTTGGTAGTTTTTACGGTTTAATCGAAAGCGTTAAAAATAAACTTATCAAGTAGCTAGTTTACATTTTTATCAGGTTTTGTCAAGAGTATTGTCGGCATCACTAATTCCAATGAATAAAACATGTGATAATAGCTTATTTGTCAGAAAGAAAAATTTATTCACGGAATATTTTTTAACCGATTAAAGGTATTTATCATTCCAATTAACAGAAGATTGGGGCTCAGACATCCTTTTTTTCAGAGTTGCACTTATTGGCTAAAATTTTTCATTGATTGATTAGAAAAATCAATTGTTCAAACGTTTCTTTCTTTGCATTATAGATTTTCGAAATCATTACTTGTGCCATCGAATTATTACTATTTTATTAATATTACAGAAATACATCCATATATAGGTGAGTCGAGTCTTGATCACTTTAGAAGGTTAGATTGCAATATAGCAGTCTGAGCGCTAATCCTTGTATGTAATTTATAACTCTCTCTGTGAGCTTAATATAAATTGGTAAGAGCAAAACCTTATTATAAAAAAAAAGCCGACAAAATTGTTAGTGCATTATGAATGTATGTACCGGGATGTCAGTGATAGATTATCGATAAGAAAAAAAAATACTGTACATGTAAATCCCAAGGTGTGGAAATATCAAAATCTAATCATTATTGAAGCTAAAAAATTTTTAAATTTTATTTCTATGCTCTAAATAATAAAAAATAGACTACTTTATAGAACCAGCGTATGACTTTCAGAAAACTAATATTCCGAAAGAACATAATCTCGCTAAATCAACTTGCATTATAGCTAATACCGATTAACTTTATTGGGATTACAAGGAGAATTTTTGTTTGAGTATTAAAAGTGAGTATAATATAAGATAAATATAAACAAGATAATAGAAAAACTAAATAATAGAAAAATAACAACAGATATGCAATAGAGATATACAAACTAAATAATAAATACTGTAATGCTTATCCAGCGTAACAAAATAAACTTAGCTAACAGTATTTTATTTATAAAATAATATATTGCTATTAAACAATTCTGGATATTAGTAAAACATAGACATGCTTGTTATGTTATTACATATTTCCATGACAATACAGAAAAAAAATCAATAATAAAAGTTTTTACTAAGATTTTTTACTAAACTTTTCTAATAAACCATTAATTTTTTCCCTATCAGAGAAATTATGCTTCAAAGCAGAATGTAAGTATTTTAAGCCTAATTCAATATTTGGTTCTACATTAAGTTTTCCATTCGCATAAATATTTCCCAAAAGATACATTGCATCAGGATTCTTTTTATCATTTGCCAATTCTAAATATTTAATAATTTCATCGCGATTTTCTTCTTTTTTCTTTTCATTAAGTAATGAAACAGCATACCGATATGAAGCATCAGAAACAGCATTCTGATATTGCATATCGGTATCTACACGCCAATATAGTACATCATTATCTGCAACTTCTTTAAAAAGTTTGTTTGCATGATCATCATCTTTTGTGACAAAATATCCATTAAATAAATAATATCCTTGCCAATATTTTGCTATTGGATCGCCAAATTCTGCATTTTCTTCAAAACATTTCCATGCACTTTCATAATTTCTTGCTTTGTGATACTCAATTCCTTTTTCAAGATCCACTTCTTCACTTGCACCCAAATCCAATTCTTTATTTCTTAAAAGCAATGGACCATTAAGAGGAATTGGGTATGATTTTGCTAATTTTTCAAGCTTTCTATGTAGTTTTACAAGATCTATTCGCTTTTCTGGCATATGCTGCCATGCTATTTACAGTATAAATTCATTAGATAATTAGTGAGATAAAATAAAATGAATCTTTATGAAAGTAGTTTAGCTTGCCTAAATCAACTAATTCAATAAGTTTTTTTTGAATCTCCAAATCATCAGGATTGTCAGATTTCCCGAGTAAAAGTTTTTCTCTCTTACCACTTAAAACATGATTAGATATTTTTATAGGATTTTTATATCTTTTGTAAGGAATCTTTTCATAACAAAGTTCCCAAATGAGCATTCCGAAACTATTTTTTTATAAATCATTAATTAATACAAAAAAAAAAAAAAAGATTCGTTATTCATAATTTATAATTTATTATTCATAAAACTCTTAAGAAATTACCTAAACATTTCACAACTAAATGTATATCCTTTTTCTTTAGGATTAGTTTGACATTTTTTGATCTGTTCAGGTGCCATCCAACGAAACATTTCTATTTTATTTTGAAACAAAAGTTTGGTAGTGTCTGCATCCGCTTTACGTGCATATATGAAGTTTCCAAGCTTTGGATCTAAGCTATGTGACACCTATAATTTAATACATTAATTTAATATATTAGTTAGTGACTTGCTAATATTTTTTGATAGATACCAAAATTTAATTACTTACAAAAACATTTTCGCACCTAATATCATGATGAAAAATATCCAATTCTCGTAAAAATACAAGACCACGGCAGATATCACGAATCATTTGTATTTTTCTAGTCCAAGGAATATCACATTTGTCATAAAGTTTCTTTAAATCTTCATGTTCGGCCCATTCAAAGACCATATATTCACGGTTATCAAATTTTGAGAGACCGTAGAATTTGAGAATGTTTGGTGATAAGCTTAAATGTTCGAGAATTGCCAATTCAGATTGATAATTGGCTGAATCTTTGATAGGTTTACAAGCAACATCTCCACCCAAATAATATTTCTTAACGACTGAACCACGATTATAATGTCCTGTTGGAGGATCACTCAATTTGACATTTTGTGCATGCGCTCCACCTATAGTTTTATTTTTTATTATGGTGGATTGTATATCGTCGAGCTTATTATTAGTAATTTCGACTCCATAATTAAGGTTCTCGAGATCCTAATTTAGCAAATGAATTTTTAATCAAAGAAAAATGATAGTATATTCAATTATTATCAAGTACGTACATACCTTCAAAGCTTTATCAATTTTTTTAGAATCTTCTTCTCTTTCATTTTCATTAGCAATTGTTATAGAAAAATGTAAATCCTCCATACAATTATTATATTCAAGAACCAATTTATCATATTGATATTTAATCTTATTTGCTTCAATAAATTTTCTAAAGCCTTCAAGCTTTGATACTTTATTAGTAAATTCTTTAATATCTGTCAAAACTTTTACAAATCTTTTGAGTGATAATGCATATTCTTTTTCAAAAAGATAACTATCATTTCTTCTTTTCATTCTTTCTAGAGCATATTTTGCTGCTTCTACTCGTTCCATCATTTGGATACACATGTCTTTATTACATTCTGCATTTTCATAAACTTTATAAATTTCATCAAATAAAATTTTCACTGTATCAACTATAGGAACGTAGGAAGCTGCAATTTCAACTGTAGTTTTAATTGTAGCGATAGTTACAGTCTTTATATCTTCTGAGACTGAATTTGTTGTCATAATGAAAATAATTTTATATGCTAATAATATGTAAAATTGGATAAAACTTGCGAGTGTAAATTATCGTTCTTTAAAAGTCTTTCAATTTACGCCAAGTCACGTAACACGAATACAAAAGCACAAAAATATACAGAATTTTAGATTATCATTTTTGTTTAATGAAACGTTACATGTAACGGTAAAATTGTATTTTTTACTATGTCTCGAGGTAGATTTAGGCTCTCATATTCATTTGACTTTTTGTAATATGTGGAGTTTATACCCAGATCCGGATTCATTCATATGATCCGCAGATTCGGATTTAATGCGGAATTATTAGATCCAGATTTAAAAGATACTGTAGTAAGAAGTGTGCATAACACCGAACAATCGGAAAACGTATTATTACATGTAAACTATAAAGTTTGACAAATGGGATATGTTTTCCGTGAATGAAATTATTAAACAAACTTATTAGATTATGTAAAATGCTAATTATATATTTGTAATAATTTAATATATCTTAATATATAATAAAAATGTCAATAAAGCAATGGACAATAGATTAGTGTAAACAAAAAGTTCTTAATAGAATGAATGGAGTATGAAATTGTCAGCTTTGGTCTATACCGATAATGTTTAAATGAAATTAAATCCGGATACGTATATATCAGAATCAGTGGAAATTAGTAACAATCATAGCTAACGAAAATAGCTAGTAAAATTAACTTAATTAGTAAAATTAGCAAAATAAAATTTATTATGAATTTATATTTTAAAAAGCGCTTGCATCATCTTTGAAAAGTTATGTTCTTTTTTCAGTAAGAGCCCTCCATCTATCATCTAATTATGCTTATAATTTTGAAAATGAATGATTTATATCTACACCCAAAATAAGAATCAATTAAATCAACATTAATTTTTTTTTATCAGTTACTTAAGTTTGAAATTTAGTTAAATTTTGTATATTTGATATTTCGTCAAGTTCAATAATTTGATTTTTGTCTTTTGTGCTTATTAGGTTTTAAATATGAATCTAGATTATGGTTTTTATGATAATCAACAAGACATTTGCAAAAAGTCAATAAAAATTAGTCAATAAAAATTTCCTTCGCTTTCATAAAAGTCGGTTTTGTACTTAGGATATTTATTTAAAAGTTTTCATCTTTAAGAAAAAAATTTATTGGATGTGATATTATTATATAAATTAGATCAAATGTAATATCAAAAAATGCTTTCCATAACTCAATTGATCATTAATCAATTTTATTAATAACTTCCTATACCAATACTTCCATCTTCACAAATTATTAGATTATTTGTTTGGATAATTATTATAGTATTAAGTTTTAAATATAGAGTCTACCCTCATTATAACGGATTGATCGGGTTGAGAAATTTCGTCCGTTATAATGACTATCCGCTAAAGCGTCATCTAGTGTAATAATATTACAGCTGGTATCATTATTCCTGGGACACTGTTACAGGCGAAAAATTCGTGACGGCTCGTGCGTCGCGATACGTTGTACAAGCGCAGATCGGGACCCACGGATCGTATATGCACGATCGCCCCAACGCCAAGACAATCAAGACAAGGCGAATATGACCAAATCGGGAAGGCATTTGACCGTGGATGCAATGTTTCAGAGTAGTTTAGAAAAGGGCGGGTTAGCATAATTATAATAGCATAAAATAAAAATAAAACAATTGAAATAAGATACTTACTCAGTCAAGTGAAACCCACAACTGCACAATTGAAAAGAGACGGAATGGTGGGAAAATGGAAGTGGAATCTAAAAATAAATAGAATTTATTAGTAAAGGTGAAATTGTATAAAAAGACAGAAATTTTAAGAAATACTAATCTCCTGGCGCCCCAAGTAGGGGGAAAAGGATCGAAGTAATAATAAAAAAATTTTATACTCACCAAATCTTTATCCACGCCTCGAGCCTTATTACCTTGAATCTATAACATTATGTGAAGTTTTTGTCTATTGAAGCAACAGACTCATCATATACTTGTCGCAGTCACCTTATTATTAGGCCAGTGTCAACAGATTATTTATAGGTGCTTATAAAAGTAACTACATAATATTAGCATGAAACTTAAATTAAAAAATTAACTAAAATGATTATTCAGTTGATTTAATAAGTTATTGATTTTGATATGATCAATATAATGTTTATTATTTACAGAAATAGTTTAAAACTATTACATACAGTATCCTCAAAAATTTTGTGATTAATTGAATACTTAAATATATGTCAGGTATTACCTTAAATATCACATCTTTTTATTTATTATATCTCTTATCTGTCATATTCTTTATTTTTCATATCTCTTATTTATCACATCCTAATACCAAAAATAACTCAAAAAAAATGTCTACTTTAACTGATTCTCAAGAACCAGATTCCTATGACATAGATTACTACTATTTTAAATACAAAGACAATTATGAACTTGGACTTCAAGAATCCAAACCCCAAGTTCTAAGAGTTCTTTTACTAATATCTAAACCAAACTACTGTAATGACAAAAAACAACAACACTATTTCAAAGTTTCATTACATCTGCAATCATAACCTAGCTTTGTAACAAATTTTATATAAGTTTTATTTCTTGATATTACAAAATTATTTATTCAATCACAATTAATCTACTTTTAAATCCAACTCAAATTCAAATCAGAAACACTATCTCTTTACAAAATTTTAAAAAACAGAAGAATTACCAGCCTTATTAGTTTCTAAATCAATTAATCAAACATAACTCTCTTTTTCTTCAACAACATATGTTTTTTTCTAAACTTATAAACAGACCTAATCCTTACAGTTATAATTACATATTCATAATACTACTATACTTGTTTTCTTTACAAACTTAAAAATATTCAATATGTCTTTACTGACAGTCAACAAAATCATGTTTCAGATTATATAATAATATGCATCTTTAAAGATTCTCTAATTCATCATACTTGTATATTATATATTTTAAATCTTAAACTCAAAATTAAACTGACTAAATCAATTATTTCATTTAGTTCTGATCAAAAGAAAATAATTATTCTTTACAAACTTAGGATTATGTTTATAAAAGATAAAATCTAATTATATAAATTCATTTTTTCAAAAAAACCAAATTCTTAATGTTTTATTAAAGAATAAAAACAAAAATAAAAACAAATACTAAAAAATACTTCTAATAATCTTGATTGGTTTAAAGAATTTCTAATTACTGAAGAAATAAAAAATTACACTAAATTTGATAACAAACTAGTTTTATAATTATTCAAATTTATTAAATCACATCTTATTAATATATATTCTTAAAAAATTATTGAACAAGTAACTAAAAATAAACTGATATCTAAATTTAATTATATGTATTTAATTAAAACCTTAGCAGATCAATGATCTAAGTTTTTTATAGATTTTATTTATAAAAATAACTCTTCTATAAATCAATCTTTTGTCATTCCTTTTGAACTTATTTATTCTATTCTTATTATATTACTTAAAGAATTTATTACTATACTCTTTAGTCATTTTAAATATCTAAAAATTTTTACTTTATATAACTTGATTCTACCTTATACTATTTTAAATAGAATTCAAGTTACACTAAACCTAGCATATTTACATCTTATTTTTCATAACAAATATAAAACTATTAATATAAAAAAATTCTATAAAAATCTTAAACTCTATCTAATATACTTCAAACTACATTATTATATTAGTGAGGACAGTATTAATAAACTTTTTTTTAAAATTTAAAATAATAATAAATTCAATATCAATATATTTCTCAACATCTCTAAATAACAATTCCTTCAAACATTCCAAATTCTATCTCTTAAAGATTACTTAATACAATTCAAAACATGGTTCAATATTTTCTTTAATATTTACAAACAACAATTTATCTAAATTGACAAATAAAAAATATTAAATTTTATTAAATATTAAATTGCTCTTAAACTTTCTAATACTTGTAAAGCCTTTTTACCTCAAGAATTCACTATTACCTTTATTAATTCACTATGTAAATGATTACAATTCTGCTTTAAAGCAGCACTCTATCATATCTATATATATATTATAGAAAACTGTATTATATTACCTAATAATACTGAATACAATATCAAAAACCTGTCAGCTAAATTCTTTGAAGAATCCTTCAAATACCATTCTGTATCTACAAATTCTGATTCAAATTCAAGTTCTAAAACTAAATACTTACATCCAATTCTAAATACTGCAATATTCAGATATGATAATAATTTCTCAGCAACCTTTTAAAAACCAATACCAATTACCTATCTTCAACAACTTGTAACCAAAACTGAATTAGATTCTTTAGAATTAACAAACTTAACAAATTAGGCATCATGATGTTATTCATGAAAGGTATTATTTTTACAATTACTTTAATATATATCTTAAAGCAGTTGCTATTAATAATCAAATAAATAATCTTTATCTTCACTAAGCAATTGATAAAATCACATCAAAACCAATAGATACACACTTTTTAGCTAGAATAATTATTTATTTTATATACTCAAATCTTTCAATAAACTATCTATATCTTATATTAAAAAAAACTTATAAAAAACAATTTTATTCAGAAGCAGAAAAAAACTATTTTCTAAATTCAAAATTCAGTTCAAAGCTCCTAAAATTAATACAAATTTCTTTAAACCTAAACCTAACAAAACTATTATAGAAAATATATCAAAATCACCTCTTATAATACTACCTATAGAAACCAATAAAACATTATTAACTTTTTAACAAATCCTAATGATGATGTTATACAAATCAAGAAACTATTAATACTAATTAACTTAATACAAATACTAATTCTATTCTAAATAAAAAATCTATTTATTACTATTCACAACTTTTTATAATTTTTTTCAATAACTTCTTCTATAAAATTATTAAGTGACTCTACAAAAAGAAAGCTTATCAAATTATTACTAACATCTTTAAACTTCTATAATTTGAATA